CTTCACAGTATAAAGTGTGCATGTGTTTTGCAAAGTGTCTGAAAAAGTGGGATCTTATATAATGACATACAATACATGCACACTTACACATGCATTCTATATCATAGGCATTGCACATACGTTCAAGTGTAATGTAGCTGTATGGAAATAAGGGAAGAGGGAATACTTGTACTTCCCCTTCCATACAACTGTCTGACATTCAGGTTAACTCTGAATTCCAGCACTTGCTTCTAGCCCAAAGAAAATGGCTTGCTTTAAAGAATTTTCAGCTGAGTTACCACAATGCCTAATGTCTTCATGAGACACCCTTGTCAGACTGGCTTTTCTTCAAGGCCTTCTAACCAGGCACTCCCTTCCCAGGCCCTAAAAGGAGATCCTCCAGTGATGGAGACGGTGACAGGCGGGCGCACCAGGCTTCCTGCAGAGGGTTGCTCTGTGCAGCCTGGCGGCTCGACCGTGTTTGCTGCAGTTGCTATAGGAGCAAACGGCCTTGCAGGGCAGCTCCATCTCTCTCGGAACACGTGCATAGCTGAGAAGCAGATTTCAGCCTGCGGTACTTCAGACACGGAGGCATGGAAGCAATCTGTGCGACTTAAATAGAACGAGTCCTGATACCCACCCCCCATCTTCCCCGGGGAAGTGGGTGTTATTTTTAGGCTTTAAAAGCACCGCAGCCAGCATTTAGGAGTGGCGAACAGGACGCCCTGCGAGGTCTGTGTGTGTGTCTGGTGCACTGTGAGTTGAAGGCCATTGGCTGAGCCAGGCAGGTGGAGAAGCACACAGCGGCCCTACCCTGCTTCTACTCCCGGCTGCCCCCACCGACTTGGGCTGCCTGCTGAGTTCTGGCCACCACAGCAACAAGGGTCCAGGGCTGCCCCCTGTGCGGGAGCGCACCCCAGCTCGCACTGGGCAGGGCCAGCCCTGGTGCCTCCCCGCTCTGGTGAGGTGAACCTGGCGCTTTGGCGACGCTGGGGACCAGGCCAGCATGCCGGTGGTGCCAGGCACGAGGCAAACGCCAGCACGCGGGGTCTTCCCAGTGGTGCCATTGCATCCTGCTGGGAACCAAAGGGATCCTGGTAGTGGAGAGCGCGCCAGGTCCCGCCGGCGGAGGACCAGAACTCTGGTGCACCGAGTCCCTCCCCGAGAGCCAGGGTGAGACTAAAGCCTGCCTTAGGGCATCACAGTTCTGACTTGGTTGTGAAACGCCAAGTTTTCATCTTACATTACTGACCTGCTCTTTTTATTATCTACAAATAATAGTATGTTTTTTCTGAAACTAACGGACTTTTTAAGGGCAGCACTTAGGAGAACAGAAAAACTGTGCAGAAAATCCAGAGAGTGAACCCTTCCTCCCTCTGCACAGTTTCCCTATTATTACCACTTTGCATCAGTGTAGCCCACTTGTTACAAGTTGATAATTATGAACTCAATCTATTGTCTCAATTAGGATGTGCTCATTGTATCGCACAATCATGGATTTTGACAAATGATCATGTCGTGTATCCATCATTACAGCGTCCTACAGAATAATTTCCCTGCCCCCAACATACCCCTGTTCATCAGTCCCTCCCTCATGCCCCCTTCCCCAATCCTGGCAAACACCAGCCTTTTCCTATCTCCATAGTTCTGCCTTTTCTTGGGTGTCATACACTTGCAATCATACAGTATGTTGCCTTTTCAGGTTGCCTTTTCACCTAGCCACATCCATTTAAGCTTCCTCCATGTCCTTGTGGCCTGATAGTGCATTTTTATTACTGAATAATACTGTCTGGATGTGCTGCATTTTATTGATCCATTCACCTACAGAAGGGTGTCTTGATTGCTTCTAACTTCTGGTGATCAATTACTGATTTTTAAGATGTATCTGTGATTAAGAGATTACAAATCAGAAGGAATCTTTGACATTTTATGTATTAGCCGAGCGTGATTAGTAATGATGGTCTGCATCTAAACACCTTTGGCAGTGTGTCCCTGTCCCACTGTTCAACCCTCCTCTGCATTCCCTGTGTGCACACATCAGATCCACAGGGAAATGCTTAGTGAAGTTTAATCATTATAAAAAGTCTTGTCAATTCTGCTGAATATTTTTCAAGCATGGAACGTGTACATTGGGAAGCAATGACTCCCACACCAGTCCCCTGTCATATTCCCATTCCCAATGTAACTACTTATAGCATTCTTATAGTTGTCCTCATATTGATTTCCTCTTACAAACAAGTATATGTGTCTGTCACCATTTTTCCTTTCTTGAGTTAAGTACACACACACACACACACATCTACTGGAATAGATATATATTCATAATTCCTAAAGAAAATGTTTTGTTTTTAAGAGAGCACAGTTGAAAGTAAAATCAAATGGAACACTTGATTTTTTATTTTTTCTTGTCTGCCACTGTGGGCTTGATCTTCAACATCATCTTATGCATTCCTTTTTTAAAAAACATTTATTTATTTGTTTGAAAGGCAGAGTTACAGAAGGAGAGAGGGAGAGAGATCTTCCATCCACTGGTTCACTTCCCGAATGGCTGCAGCAGGACCAAATAGAATACTGGCATCGCAGCATAACCCACTGTACCACGACGCCAGCCCCAAGAGAGAGACTTTTGATTCTTTTGCTCCAAACATGACGCAGTTCTACCCTGCCTAGAACTCTGTAAAGAGAGACTGCTGTCATTCCTGAAGAATCAGAGTTGAGGCGGTGACATGATTCATCTCAACCTGTATTGCAAATTCTTAACATCAGCCATTGATTGTAAACTCTCTTTCTCACAATATTCTTGGTGATGTCCCACATCCTGAGAAGCCAGCTGTGTCTTCCAAAGTTTCGCTCAGAGTTTCTGACATAATTCAGCAGAATAAACTTTTTTTGGGGGGGGGGGCATGGAGTACACTTTAATTTTCCCCTGTACTGGTAGCACAAAGGCTGTTTTTTCATTTTCTTCCTGTCAAGCACAACTGCAATGCTCCAGAAAATGGGAATGGGAAATTTTAGAAGTTCCTAAGCCACTTTAGGATAGATGGTAACCATAAGAGAGGTTCGAAGCATAACCACATTTCCATAGGAAAGGTCCAGTTGCAAAAATCATTCCCTCTTACTAGGGTTTGCTTTTGTGGTGGCAATTCATGGCTGAGAAGTCTTGTTATAAAATAGAATACTACTCTCTACATTGGCTCTTTGAGCCACTAGAGAATTTTTATCCTTTTAAAGACATCGCTTATTAAAAGATTTGTTTATTTGAAAGGCGGAATGACAGAAAGAGAAGGAGAGACAAAGACACAGAGATCTTCCATCTTCTGGGTCACTCCCCAAATGGCCACAGTGAGCTCCTGGGCTGGCCCAGTGTGAAACTAAGAGCCTGAAACTCCATCCAGGTCTCCTGCGTGTGTGGCAGGGGCCCAAACACCTGGGCCATCTTCTGCTGTGTGCCCAGGCCATTTGCAGCCAGGTCTCCAACTAGCACTCCTATGGGATGCTGTGCTGCAGGCAGTCACTTAATCTGCTTAATCTGCTACACCTCGCTCCAGTCCCTTTGAAACATCGTGTTGGGACTGGTGAGTGGTACAGTGGGTGAAGCCACTGCCTGCAACATCAACATCACATATCAGATAGCCCGTTAGAGTCCTGTCTGCTCTACTTCCAACTGAGCTCCCTGCTAATGCACCTGGGAAAGTAGTGCAAGATGCTCAAGTACTTGGCCCCCTGCTATCCACCTGGGAGACCCAGATGCAGCTGTAGGCTCCTGGCTTCAGCCTGACCAGCCCCAGCTGTTGTGGCCATTGGGGAGTGAACTAGCAGATCAAAATCATATTCTCTCTCTTTCTCTCCCTCTCTCTCTGTAACTCTGCCTTTCGAATAAATAAAAATTAATCTTAAAAAATAAAAACCTCAATTAATCCAGTATGAAAAATCACTGTATTATTAGACTACATCAGGAAGAGAATCAGTTCTCCATGTCCACTCTGAGAAAATAAATGAATATATTCATGTGCTCTTGGGCAAATTCATTGGCAGGTGCTTTTCTCAGAATGCACTGTGCTCACTTTATGATTAGGCTATGAGCAAAACTCATGGTTTAGTGTGTAACCCCTTAAATAAGAAATTTCTACCTAAGAAACTGCATTCAGTTCTTACTGATCTATATTTAGGTCTATAGAGTGGGAAGGAGAGTAGAAGAAAACCAAAAAGGCATTAGGAATTATAAACTCTCCAGGAACTTAACAGTAATGGTAAGGATGATGGGTTTCATTTGATGCTAATGGAACATTACTAATGAACTTATCTAAATTATATAGATAAGTGCATACAGCTAGGCGAGGTTAGGGATAATTTTTTCTATCATTTAGCACTGTTATCAGAAAATGGTCACATTTTGCTCTATTTCTGATCAGAAATGTGTAATGTAAAGATAAAAATGTGGGAGAAAATAGCAACATGTCTCTTCTATCTATAAAATCCCTAAACCCACACATACCATAACGATCAGGGCCAGTGGAAGTGGTAAGCGACAGGGGCGCAAAGCCAAATCCACATGTAATCACATAGTTTTCTTAGAATCTTGATTCCTAAAGTCAGATGAGTTAAAGGTGACTATTTCTCAGGGCCAAGTGTCCTGCAGGTAAATCACTAAACACCATGAATTGCTTGGCCAATCTCTATGTCACTACTTAGACTTTGTTTTGATATAATCATTAAACAAGAACCCAGACCACTCAACAGATTATCCATTACACAGGCTATTCTGCACATTGACATAGAAGATATTCCCTGATCCTGAGATTCACAGGACTGTTGAATTTTCCCACTCAGTGCAGGCTGTCTAAAGGAACAGCTGGCCAGCTCCTCTGAGCTCAGAGTGCTCCATTCAATTTAACATGCAAGAGTAGCTTAAAGATTTATTGCCGTTTCTTATTTTAAAATGTCTTCAGATGTAAGAATGCTAGCACTCCTGTATTCATACCAGATCATATGAACAAAATCAAACTCTTCTCCTTCTATAGATAGACTACTGCAACCAACCAAATGCATATTAAATTTCTGTGCACATTGGAAGGACATAGACTGGTAAGTAGAGAATACTTTAATTTTATTTTATTTCTTATGCTTTCTTTTTGATCAAGAGAGAAAATTATTTCACAAAAAAGTTTTATAGTTTTTCTCTTGTTATATACATCTGTCAAGTAGGCTTTACATATTTAGTTGTGACAGTAAACTATTAGTTGTAAAAGTATGTCGTATTGTTTATGTGTCTATTTATGTTGTTATTTAATATTCATTGGGCATTGGAGCTATGATACATGACTTCCCATCCTAATTGAATTCTGAAGCTATTTCTGAGGATCATATTTTAACCACTTAATTGTTGTATGAAGCATTTTTAAAGCCCATTTGTTCACTTTAAGTTCTATACAATAATCTGGTCATTTTCCCTTCAACTTGGCAATAAAACTGGGGAAAGGAGTTGGATATCAACATAAAAGTATCTCAAATAATTAGAAACGATTGGTGCTTTCACATCTGCACGCTTTTCATTTGCAGAGAGAGTAATAAAGTAATAATAAGTCATTAAAGTCAATAGCCCTGCAGCTGTGTCCATTCTGCACATAAATCACATCCTCTCAATAGTCTGTCAGTCACATGGGCCAAAATTTCAATAATGTATTTATGAATTCTCTGCAATTATTGGTAAAACACAAGCAAGTATAATCTCATAAATTTCATCCAGTTAGATAGGATAGAATCTATTCCCATACAGCAAAGTCAGAATTCCAATAAGATAGAAGGAGCTTGTTCCTTGCTACCCACTCTCTTGGCAATCAGCAGACAGGAGAGGTTCACTTCCATTTTCTTCTGTTTGGGTACGATACCCCTGATGCTGTTTAGGGGCCGAGGGAGAGAGGTCACTCATTCTTGTCAGAGCCAGCCAGAGCTTGTGTCCTGTGGCCAAGGGACAATGTGAATTTAGTAATAATCAACGTTCGTTTGATTTTTTTTGTGCTTGGGCCATAAGAAAGTTTGGCATCAACATTGAACCTAACTATAGGGTGTTATGGGTTAAATTTATGTGTGTTCATCTCTTTCCTTTTCATCTGATTTAAAATTTAGATAAATTTTTCTGCACCATTATATTGATTTATTTTTTTATGTGGCCACAATTACTTTTTGGACTGAGAAGTCGTAAGTGGACACACCTGTCTTTGTCACTGTTCTATAGTTAGAAAAGAGCTGAAATGTGATTAGCTCAGATTATCAGCTCTTCAAGAGGCAGATTGCTCTCTGAACTGAAATGACCTTCTCCTTTCAGAGGTCAGAGTTCAACCTCCTCATTTTAGACTTCAGAAAACGGAAGTCCAAGGTCACGTGATTCTATACCAGCTGTCCCCATCTGTGTTGCCGTTGTCAATGATTACTGAGAACACCTTGCCCATTGATTATCACTGTGGAGAAGGGGAGGCAGCACGAGTGTTACACAAAGTGTTACAGGCGGTGATGCAAATGGAAATTATTCATGTTGTTAACTATAATACAAATTTTATCCTTTGGTAAAATTAGGCACTTACTCATCTACGGTTTTTTTTTTTTTAAGATTTTATTTATTTTACTTGAAAGGCAGAGTTACACAGAGAGAGAAGGAGAGGCAGAGAGAGAGAGAGAGAGAGGTCTTCCATCCACTGTTCACTCCCCAGATGGCTGCAATGGTCGGAGCTGTGCTGATCTGAAGCCAGGAGCCAGGAGCTTCCTCTTGGTTTCCCACACGGGTGCAGGGGCCCAAGGACCTGGGCCATCTTCTACTGCTTTCCCAGGCCACAGCAGAGAGCTGGATTGGAAGAGGAGCAGCCGGGTCTTGAACCGGTGACCATATGGGATGCCGGCACTTCAGGCCAGGGCATTAACCCGCAGCGCCACAGTGCAGGCCCCACTCATCTAAGTTTTTATTGTCAGATTCCCAAAGCAAAAAAATCTTAAGTTATTCTACCTTGTGATAATTACGAAGTCAAACATTTCGAACAGAAGAATTCTTATTTCCAGAAATTGGGACTAGGTTTTTTGGATCACTTGAAAAATTGAGAAGTTGGGACAGGTATTTGGCTTAATGACTAAGATGTTGGTTAGGGGGCTAGAATTGTGGTGCAGCTGGCTAAGCTGCTGCCTGTAGTGCTGGCATCCCATATGGGCACCAGTTCATGTCCTGGCTTGCTCCACTTTTTTTTTTTTTTTTTTTTTTTTTTTGACAGGCAGAGTGGACAGTGAGAGAGAGAGAGACAGAGAGAAAGGTCTTCCTTTGCCGTTGGTTCACCCGCCAATGGCCTCCCTGGCTGGCGTGCTGCGGCTGGCGCACTGCGCTGATCCAATGGCAGAGGGGCAACTGGGACAGAATTCGGCGCCCCAACTGGGACTAGAACCTGGTGTGCCGGCGCCGCAAGGGGGAGGATTAGCCTAGTGAGCCGCAGCGCCGGCCTTGCTCCACTTTCAAGCCAGCTCCCTACTATTGGCCTGGAAAAGCAGTGAAAGATGGCCCAAGTATCTGGGCCCCTGCTACTACCCACACAGGAGACCCAGAAGAAGCTCCTAGCTCCTGGCTTCTTGCCTGGCCCAGCCCTGGCTCTTGTAGCTATCCAGGGAGTGAACCAGTAGATGGAAGATCTTTCTCTCTCTCTTTCTCTAACTCTGTCTTTTAAATAAGTAGATAATCTTTATTCTAAAAATATGCTGGTTAGGATGCCCACATTTCACATCAGAGTATCAGGGTTTGATTCCTGACTTCAGCTTCCAGTTAATGCAGGCTCTGGGAGGAAGAGGTGATGGCTCAAGTAAAGAGACAGAGAGAGAAAGAGATTGAGAGGTATCTTCCATCTGCTGGTTCACTCCCCGAATGCATGCAACGGCCAAAGCTAGACCAGGCTGAAATAGGGAGCTGGGAACTCAATCCAGGTCACTCAGGCAGGTGGCAGGGACCCAATCACTTGAGCCATCCTCTGCTGCCTCCCAGGGTGTGCATTAGCAGGAAGCTGGAATTAGAAGCAGAGTCAGACCTTGAGTCCATGCCCTCTGGTAGGAGTTGTGGTATCCCAAACAGCATTTTAACTACTTTGTCAAATACCTGCTCTTCATGGTTTCTCTCTGTCACATCTGAATCACTGCCATCATTACTCTTTTGCTTTGGGGTCATTATTAACCAAAAGGAGTATAAACTGATCACAAGCATTGTGGTATCAAAATACCCTCTGATAACCAAGACAGCTACTATGTGACAGTCTTAGGGTGGAGTGGGGTGCACGTGACTAAGGACACAATACACCTTACTCATTGTAGACTTTAGGAAAATGGGCCTCAATTTGGTTAATAAACCACTAGAATCTCTTAATGCAATACTTCACCTCTTTCAGATTCCAGCCAAATAATGTTTTGCAGCAAATAATGTTTCTCACTCATGCAGAACATGCTGTTACGTTTCACCCACGTTAAGATCAGGCCATCAGTGCTCCTCCGGCATGTTTCTCAAGAAACTGCACTGACATTTGAGGGCTATAAAAAAATCCTGTTTTTGGGCCTGCAACCAGTTTAGGTGTTTGGCTGTTTACTCCTGAGCCCCTGTTGCTAATTCCTGACTTGTTCTTAGTCATGTCCTCCCAAGCACAGCTTCCCATTCTGAACCCGTTAAAAACTGTCCTCACCAGGAATATGGCAACACTCGACATCCATCTGCTGCCTCCTCATTTCACTGGTAGAAAACACTGTCTCATTCTCTTGTCTTCAAACTTTGTCTTCATTATTCTGATTCAGCACCATTGGCAAGGACCAGACTCTTGGTGATATGACTGGTGGGTGGGCGGTGTTTATATAGTGTGGACCTCTGGACAAAGGGATGATTCATCTCTCAGGCAAGAATGAGTGGGATGGCTCAAGATTTCACCACACTACTGAAAATGACATGTACAAATTAAAACTTATGAATTGTTTGTTTCTAATATATTTGGACCACAGTCGAACACAGGTTGTGGAACGCAAGATCTCAGATACAAGAGTACTACTGTATAGGGAACAGAGGAGCATCAAAACTGCATGTGCACTAAAGGAACAAGGGCAGCACCAAGTTCACCAAGGTTGTTAGCATTATGGCATAAAGAGGATGGGCATCAAAGTCCAGCATGGGGTGGGGGCAGGGAGGGGTAGTCACAGAAGATGATCCTGTAGCCCTTAACCACCAAGCATAGCATCCTCAGCAGAAAGGAAGCAGAACTAAACACATTCTGGTGCCTCACAGCCAAAATACCCCAGACAATGCTACCTTGGAGCGGAGTAGAACAGGAGGAAAAATTATCCCTTATAAATACTGGCCACATTGTGGTGCAGTGGGTAAGGCCGCCACCTGTGATGCTGGCAATTGTTCTAATCCCAGCAGCTCTACTTCCAATTGAACACCCTGCTGTTGTGCCTGGGAAAGCGGTGGAAGATGGCCCTAGTGCTTGGGCCCCTGCACCCACATGGAAGACCTGGATGAAGTTCTAGGCTCCCAGCTTCAGCCTGGCCCAGCCTGGCTGTGTGGTCATTTATGGAATGTGTCAATAGATGGGTGATCTATCTTGCTCTCTCTGTCTCTCCTCTCTTTGTCACTCTGCCTTTCAAATAAATAAATAATTCTTAAAAGAAAAAGAGGCATTGGTCAAAGGCCAGTCTTCATGTGAATTTGCACTCTGGGTACACACTTGTGTAGTCCTAGGGAGATCTGTGCTTTTGCTTGGGTTTCAGGTGGTTCTCAGGCATTGGTGCTTGAAAGAGTCTGACAGCAGCCAGTGTGAAGCCCCCGGCAAGAGGTTCTCCAACCCAGGCCTCAGCAAGCCTCACATGCAGTTTCCAGGGCACTGGCAAACAGGCAGTGACAGGTCATTAAGATCACCAGAAAGAAGGGCAGCACAGGGGAGAGCCTGGACAAACAGCAGACAGAAGAAAAAGGCTGCGCAGGTAGAGAATCGGAATTCTCGTCTCAGATTAGAAACCCACGTCACTCGCCAGGTTTAAACAATTCAATGAATGGCACTCTTTCATGTATTTGCAGGAAACTGCAAAAGTAGCTAATTGCCTAAGGAACCAAACAGAATGTATATATCTTTATTATAAATTGTATAAAATTAAATATATACATTTGAGAGCACATTGGGCACAGCAGACGAGGATGAGTGAGCTGAAAGTAGTTCAGGATATATTACCAATAATTTAGAACATGAAATCACAGCTTCAGCAATATGAAGAGAAGGAAACCGGGAAGAGAGGCACAGTTTAGGTGTTGAATATGCTGCAATGAGCATGACAGATCAAGTTCCTAAACTCAAGAAATTTAAATTCTAATAGGAAAAAGTAATTCAAAGTCGAGCTTGGATGTCCCTCCTATTCTCCGGCCTCCCATGCCTCCGACCATCCTGCCTGTCCATATGCTTCCACCATCAGATTGCAGCATTTCCTGCTCAAGGATTTACTTTTTTCTTTTAATTCCAATCTTCTCTCTCTCTCTCTCTCTCTCTCTCTCTTTTTTTTTTTTTGGACAGGCAGAGTGGACAATGAGAGAGAGAGACAGAGAAAGGTCTTCCTTTTCCGTTGAGCCGCGGCGCTTCAGAGAGAAGTCTTCCTTTCCATTGGTTCACTCCCCAAATGGCCGCTTCAGCCGGAGCTGTGCTGATCTGATGCCAGGAGCCAGGAGCCAGGAGCTTCTTGCAGGTCTGCCATGCGGGTGCAGGGACCCAAGCACTTGGGCCATCCTCCACTGCCCTTCCAGGCCACAGCAGAGAGCTGGACTGGAAGAGGAGCAGCCGGGACTAGAACCCAGCACCCATATGGGATGCCAGCACCGCAGGCGGAGGATTAACCAAGTGGGCCACGGCGCCAGCCCCAAGGATTTACTTTCTTTTTCCTTTATGTTCGTTTTTTTGACAGGCAGAGTGGACAGTGAGAGAGAGAGACAGAGAGAAAGGTCTTCCTTTGCCATTGGTTCACCCTCCAATGGCCGCTGCGCTGATCTGAAGGCAGGAGCCAGGTGCTTCTCCTGGTCTCCCATGGGGTGCAGGGCCCAAGGACTTGGGCCATCCTCCACTGCACTCCCTGGCCACAGCAGAGAGCTGACCTGGAAGAGGGGCAACCAGGACAGAATCCGGCGCCCCGACCGCGACTAGAACCCGGTGTGCCAGCGCCGCAAGGCAGAGGATTAGCCTAGTGAGCTGGCCCAGGATTTACTTTCTTTTTTTTTTTTTTATTTTTTTTATTATATTTTTTGACAGGATTTACTTTCAAATAACATTCAGCTTTCTGTGGTTCAGTTTAGGCATCTTTTCCCCTGCAAGCCTATATGAAGTTCATTTTAGCCTCATGGCCCTTCTCCGTGTTCCCAAGCACTCTGTATTTAATCCTGTCCCATCCAAGTACTCCCCAGACCAGACCCTGCCTAGTTTCCGAGATCAGATGAGATCCGGTGCGTTCAGGGTGGTGTGACCATATACTTAATCCTCTCACAACATTTCCCACTTCTTATTAAAATCAAATGTCTGTATGTTTGTCTCCTTTATGAGACTCTGAGTTCTTTGAGGAAGCTGACTTTATCTTAATCATTTTTTTGCACTTCAATGCTTAATGCAATAGAGCAAAAAAGATAGGAAACAGAGTTAGGTTAAAAAGTTTTTTCTGTAGATAATCTTAATGCACTGCATATTTCTCTATTTAAAAAATCCTAGAAGAGGGACCGGTGTCGTGGCACAGTGGGTTAAACTGCTGCCTGTGATGCTGGTATCCCATGTGAGCATCAGTTCAATCCCAGCTGCTCCATCTCCGATCCAGCTCCCTGCTGATGCACCCGAGAAGGCAGCAGAAGATGACCAAGTGCTTTGGCTCCTGTCACCCATGTGGAAAACCTGGATGGAGTTCCAGGCTCCTGGCTTCAGGCCCAGTCTCAGCCATTGTGGTAATTTGAGAAGTGAGCCAGTGCTGGAAGACACCTCTCTCTTTCTCTCTCTCTCTCTTGCTCTCTCTCTCTAACTCTGCCTTTAAAATAAATAAATCTTAAAAAGAAGTCCTAGAAGATAGGATTTTGAATGTTTCATTATAAAGATAATATTAAATGTTTGATGAGATATATAGATTTATCCTGACTGGATATTATACAGTATCTATACATATCGAAACATCACATTGTAGTCCATGAATATGTACAGTTTTTATGTATCGAAAAGTTTTTAATAAATCCCCCCCTTTTTTTAAAAAAAAAAAAAGGGTTGGCACAATGGGCATTTGGCCTAGCTAGGTTAAACATTGGTTAAGAATCCCAAGTCCTGGGGCCAGCATTGTGGCAAATTGGGTTAAGCTGCAGCCTGTGACACCAGCATCCCACATGGACACCAGTTCAAGTCCCAGCTTCTCCATTTCTGATCTAGCTCCCTGCTAATGTACCTAGAAATCAGCAGAAGATGGCCCAAGTGTTTGGACCCCTGCCACCCACATAGGAGACTTAGATGGAAATCCATGTCCTGGCTTCCGCCTGGCCCAGCTTGGTCATTGTGGCCATTTGGAGAGTGAACCTGCAATTGGCAAATCTCTCTCTCTCTCTCTCTCTCTCTCTCTCTCTCTCTTTCTCTGTAACTCTGCCTTTAAAAAAAAGGTTTATTTATTTATTATTTTAAAAGAGTTACAAAGAGAAGGAGAGATTTTGCCTCTGCTGGTTCACTCTCCAAATGTCTACAACGACCAAGCTGGGCCAGGCCAAAGCCAAGAGCCGGGAGGCTCCTCCAGCTCTCCAGTGGGTGCAAGGGCCCAAGAAGTTGGGCCATGCTCTGCTGCTTTCCCAGGCACATTAGTAGGGAGCTGGATGGGAAGTGGAATAGCTGGGACTTGAACCAGCAGCCATATGGGTGCTGACACTGCTGACCATGGCTTTAAACTGCTGTATCGCAGCACTGGCCCCATAATTCTGCCTTTCAAATAAATAAGTAAATCTAAAAACAACTACTATAAAAAGCAAAAAACAAATCCCAGCTCCTGATTCCAGCTTCTTGCTAATATGAACCATCAGAGGCAGCAGTGGTGGGTGAATTAACTGGATTTCTGCCATCCACATGGGAGACCTGGATTAAGTTCCTGGCTCCAGTTCAGCCCAGCCTTGGTTATTGTGGACATGTTGAGAGTGAACCAACTGATGGGAGCTCTCTTTCTCTGTGTCTCTGCATCTCAAATACATAAAGAAATTTTTGCAAAGTGTTGACTATGGTACTGATTTTACTTAAGTAGACTGGTGAAGCAGGTAGCACAGTAGGCAGAATAGTAGAAATGTTGGGCAAAATGTTGGTGCAAAGAAGGAGCTTGCGCATGAATAATCCTGGCACTTTCTCAACAGTGGCTTGCAGATTCTGTGCATGAGTAGTGCAACAAGGGTGTGACCCTGAAAACAAGAGGCTGCTTGCTCTAGAGAACACATTCTGCAGAGGATAAAGCCAGAGTATGTTATTGTTCCGTAGATCCTTGTCATTTTCTTCCCAGCTTCTTCTCTCAGTTTCTGGTAAAATTATGAGAACGTGGCATGTAAAGCCTTGATCTGATCGTAGAAAAATTTAACCCCCATAAAAGTAGTAATGACTCCTGTGTAAATTTACAGCTTTTCCTTACCTATATTTAAACTGTTTGGCTGCTAGGCTCCAGAGTAAGTAATTAGGAATAATCAAGTAATTCACCAGGAGCAGCACAGACCCAATGGTGATTATATTCTATCCCTAAACAAAGAGAAATTTTCAGTGAAAAAAAAAAAAAAAGTATTATTGTAGTGAACGGGAGAAATAGCAAAGCTCCTAATCGCAATTGCTAGTTAAGCATTAACGAAACGAGATCCACTCTCCCTAAGCATGGTGATATTGGATACCAGAAATAAGCTGAATCAAACAAGCATCAACAGTACACCTGAAAAAAACCACAGCACAGTTACAAAGTAGGGTGCAGGGCAGGATCTGGATCCGGTTTCACATTCTAAGTGGTAATAGCAAAATTCAACTTAGACATCTTTAAACAAGGGATTTGTGGGATCCTAAAAAGGAAAATTCAAGAGTAAGGAAGTGAATTAATCAGAAGAGACTAACACTATAGCCAATAATTTCAAAATTTTGGTGAATTAACACCACATAAGTTTACTTGTCCAGGCAACAATTCAGTCCCACGTTCCTGGCCAAGCAATGATCCTGGGAAGTTGCCCTCCCGGGGGCTCCTCAGGCTTCTTCCATTGTGTTTCTGTCTCTCAACCCTGGGTGTCCCCTCCATTCAGCCAGCAGACAGGGAAAGCAAATGGAAGATCCTTTACAAGGGGTCAGGCTTGAATGAGGACATCAGATCGGCCACCGTCCCTGGCTAGAACTCAGTCACACGGTCATTCATTTCAAGAGAGCTGAGAAATACCAGGACATAAAGGGACACATGGTGAACTTTTAGCTGGTGCTTGCCAGCTGCCATGGTAACCAAATCCCCATGAGAAGCACAGAGCCACGGTCCTCGAATTCTAAGCAAGAGACAGATCTACCTAATTGCATCGCCTCGGTCCCTTGCACATTCCCGAGTTGAGGAAGTGACCCAGGAATGCCGTAACTGGTGGCTTTGAGCTGACCAGAGCACACCTCTTGAGTTGGGGGCATGGTCAGTTTTCCCTGAAGTACCTGGGCTGCATGGGCAAGAGGTAAATATGTTAGAAAATGGGAAAAGATGATGGATGGGCAACTGTCCATGTCCACACAAGGTTCTGGTTCCAGAAGAACTGAGATACCAAGAAGTGCCGACATATCTCGAGGGTCTGTGCAACACTGTGACCTGGTTACTGCGCCTGTGCTTGGCAATGTGGAATAAGAGACATATCCCTCCTTCCCGTCTTAGTCTCATGGCTGAGGCCCCTGTAACAAAAGACAGATTCATCAGAGAAAAGCAAGCAGATTGAACATGGTTTTCCATGACACAGAGCCCTCACACAGAGTGAAGATCTGAAGAAATGGGTCAACTTGTACATTTGTCATACAAGGTTGCATGAAGAAATGGATAGTTGTGGCGAAGCATGACTGGACAAAGGGCTGTGACCCACTGTTGACAAACCAGGGGGCACTAGCAAAGCCTCGGTGTTCAAATTCTCCCTCACCCCTCCCTGTCACTCTGTCTTTAGAGATAAGCTTGTTCCGTCCCTAGGAGATAGCACTTCTCCAACAGAGTTTAATGATGTGCTCCAGGGGCAGGTCAGGCTTTAGGACCTGCTTCTGGTAAGAAAAGTGAGGGGGAAGGGGAGAGCAGCCTGTTTCTGTCATTTTCTCAAATTCTTTCAACTTAAAATATTTGGGGATAGCATGTCCTGAACCCTATTAACTGCCACGTAGGCAAGGTGAACAGAGTGAGAGCCCTGCTCCTGGCAAGCTGGGTAGAACTGAAGAAATCCAAGGACAACAGCAGTAGTCCTAGCCTTGGTGTCCTTGGAACCTCAGATTCCATTGAACCTGGGAACCAGGCTAAAACGTGGAGAAGAGTAGTCCCAGCTAGAAGATAAAACCCACAGGGGCTGCTAATGAGAGCTGTTGGGAGGCTGAACATCGCTTTGTCTTCCACCAATGATACAGGGATTTATTCTGGAAATGAGCACACACATTTTCTCATCGAGAAATCAAAACTCTGCTGCTTAGTCTAGGATGATAGATTTTAATCCCATTGTTTCTTCAGCTAATACTTGTACTTTCAGTCTGCTGGTCATTGCTAGAAAATGTCTCTGATTGTGGGAATAGGTTCCCTGGCTATTTTATTCCGGGTTCTTGCCTCCATATGAGATAAGATTCAAAGCAGAGACATGGGCGAAGTGCAAGAATGGGAGCAGCGTTTATTTGAAGAGGCAGAGAGAATGCACATTGAGATGTGAATGTGGGAGAGATGTGCGCCACGAGGCGAATCCGTGTTCCCATGAGGGGACAGGGTGCTTTGAGGAGAGGAATGCTCCTGAGGGCACAGGGATGCCCCCAGCTCAGTGGTCCCCTTCACTGGGTTGGAGCTGGTGCCCTAGTTGAGTATAGAAACAGGGTGGGGTTTGAGGGGGTGTTCAGTATGTGGGAGGACCTCTGAGAAGGCTTCATGGCAACTCCACGTGGAACTCAGTGTGCATGAGGAAGTGACTCGGTGCTCACCATGGTGGCTTCTTCATGCTGGAAGAGGCTCAGGTGCATTGTGGGAAAGTGAATGTGCTGAAATGGCACCCAGGGGTTGGAGTTGGGGTACAGTGCTAGAGACAGAAACTGCAGGAAATCTCTCAGCTCCATTGTTCTCTACCTGGCACCCTGCCTGTCCCACATCATCATCACAGACTAGTTATACCTTTTGGCCCAGCTCAAAGTAGATTTTAGCTATAGTTCATTCTATCACACAAGAATTTCAAGAGAACTTCAGGTCCAGAGTCCTTAATTTTGTGAAAAGTTCATTCATTGTTACACTTTTTGGTATTTAGGTTCATAACATCCAAATGCACTCCAGACCCTCAGATTGCCTCTCTTGTTAGTGTTTCATGTTTGGGACTTTGGTGTCATTGATCTGGAGGAAGAATGTTTATAAGGGGCCAGTGTTGTGGTACACCAGGTTAGGCCACCTTTTACAACGCTGGCATCCCATATTGGAGCACTGGTTCTAGTCCTAGCTGCTCTGCTTCTGATCCAGCTCCCTACTAATGCAGCTGGGAAGGCATCAGAGGATGGGCCAAGGGCTTGGGCCCCTGCCACCCATGTGGGAGACCTGGATGGAGCTCCTGGTTCCTGGCTTCAGCCCTGGATGATGCAGCCATTAGGGGAGTGAACCAGTGGATGGAAGATCTCTCTCTCTCTCTCTCCTTTCTCTCTCTCTCTGGGTCTTTTCCTCTCTCTGTCACTCTGCCTTTCAAATAAAAAAAGATACGCAAATCTTGTTTTAAGAAATAAATAATGTTTAGGAGCCTATCCCCTGTAAAGTTAGAGATACTTTGAAATCTAGAGTGCCAGAGCTGTGGCGCATTAGTTTAATCGTCTGCTTGCGGTGCCGGCATCTCATATGGGCGCTGGTTCTAGTCCCAGTGGCTCCTCTTCCAGGCCAGCTCTCTGCTGTGGCCTGGAATAGCAGTGGAGGATGGCCCAAGTGCTTGGGCCCCTGCAGCCACATGGGAGACCAGGAAGAAGCACCTGGCTCCTGGCTTTGGATCGGTGCAGCTCTGGCTGTTGCTGACATTTGGAGAGTTAACCAACGGATGGAAGACCTTTCTCTCTGTCTCTCTCTCTCATTGTCTGTAATTCTACCTGTCAAATAAATAAATAATAATAATAAAATCTTAAAGAAATCTAGAGCATATTCTCAGATTAACATTTTGCTTTCTAACCAAACCTGTTCAGTGGTGTTTCTCATCCATAAATAAAAACCAGGCAGAGTGATGACAGCCCAGGGGAAATGGGAGGGAGGGGGAAGGTCAAACAGAGGAGGAAGAGGAATCCAGGAGAGGGGAGAGAAGAGTGGTGCTTTGTTCAGGCCTCTCACCTCTCCTGGCCAGGGGAGCTGCCAGGCAGAGATCACTATCTTTTAACCCAGTCACACCTGCAAACTACACAGTTCATAACAAGGACTCATTCAACAAATAGTCATTTGGGGATTGTCATATTTTAAGCTGTCATTGGGTAATACATTCACCAGTGGGAGGATAAACCTATGGAAATAATTTAAAAATCATTCTATAGAAAGATAATGAATATTAGAACAACCACGGAGTTATTGCAAAATGTAAGTTAGAATTCTGTGCATTGACAGCAAAAGTTACCCAAGACAAATAATTGAAGGGAAAATAGTTTACAGACCAGTGATCCATTCTGATTGTTTTTAAATATAAACAATGATCAGAGATGGATGTACGGTGATGCTAAAGAAGCTTGATTCAGGAGCTCTCACTTGCACAGGGCTTTTCTAGGACTTAATTTTGTATTTTCCATAAAGAAGGGCTCCAAAACGGTGGGTTAGGTACAAAATCTGAGCAACTCCCTGATGTTTATATTCGTAGTAAACACTGTGGCCAACCTTGGTTATCACAGGCAGGTAGAATGTTGAAAGTTGTGTTTCTGTCATTCAAGAAAACTTCCTCCTGTGATTTCTTTACCTACACCTACAGCCTCTGGCATCCCTCTGTGTTCTCTACATCTTTTCTCTAAGTTAAATAATGCATGGAATCTGTAAACAGAAACTCACTATTCAAATAGTAGATATTATAAATGTCCCAGCTGGCCAGTTCCACCTCTAGCATCATCTTTCTCCAACTTCTGTTTTGCCAGTTTTCCTACTAACAAGTATCATCATCTTCCATTCAAGCTATACTCCTTTGGTCTTCACACTGTCCCTGATCACTCTCTACCACCCTGCTGCTTAACCAATGAAAGGCACAGACCGAAAAATTACATGTATATATTTCTAGGACAGAGACTTCATTTTTTAAAAAAGATTTATTTATTTATTTGAAAGGCAGAGTTATGGGGGTGGAGGGAGGAGAGAGAGATAGAGGGAGGTATCTTCCATCTGCTGGTTCACTCCCCTAATAGCAGCAAAGGCCAGGACTGGGCCAAGCTGAACCAAGGAGCTAGAACCTTCATTTGGGCCTCCCCCGTGGGTCCCCAGGACTTGGGCTGTCTTCTACTGCTTTTCCAGGAGCATTAGTAGGGAGCTGGATCAGAAGTGGGATACCTGGGACTTGTACCGGTACCCATTTGTGATGTCAACATCACAGGCAGTGGCTTAACCTGCTATACCACAACGTGACCCAAGACGTCATTTCTTACTGTGATGAAACATTTCCTAGCACAAAAACATGTCCCAACTCTTTTCAAAACCTAAGGCAAATACAAATAGCTAGTAAAAATCTATAAAACGAAAGTAATGCTTTTCTTTTAACCAGCTTGTGGTGATTTTTTGCACATATTTTCCTTAAGGAGTTATCTTGGGCACCTAGAGTGGCTATTTGAAGCTGTCTCAAATTGACTTTTGGTATCAACTACATTTTCTTAAGCATTTTAACTTTGAAAATTTTGCATTATACTTAACATATCAAAATATTACATTTGGCAGGAACTTCCAAACAATTAGTAGATTATAAGCTATTTGATCATCATAGAATTAGTGCATTAATTGTCTGTGATTAAACTTCATTCATGAGAATTGAATATGAAAGAAGCATTAACTGCAAGTTATATCAAGTTATATATATAACTTAACTTCAAGTTGTATCAATTCAAATTATGTTCAGCTGCATATAATAGTTGGGTATTTTCTCTTGCAAAGGATTTGATAAGTAGGCAGTTTGGGGTTGGTGTGACAAAGTACCCCAGATTCACTAAGGATGTAATCTTCCTGCTGTCAGCTCTGTGCTTGTGAGGGTGTGGCCCATGTACTTAGGGTCCAGAAGGTGACCGGTGCTCCTGCCATCTCACTGAGGGGGAAATTAACATGTAACAGTTTCTGAATAAGGAGACTTCCCAGAGGTGCTGCGTTTATATCCTCTGGCAAGAACCTAGTTACCATAGCAAGTCAACTGCAAATGAGACCAGGAAATCTCATCTCTGATCTGAAGCATAACTTAGGAAAACAACATAGGGAGCAGTGAGGCTCTGCTACTAAATAAAAAGTGAAGATGAGAGAGAGGAAAGAATTTGCCTTCACTACCACTCTTTTGATGCAAATAGTATAGTGATGTCTTAAGTATTTCTCTTTTCATAACACTATGAATTCTGTTAAAAGGCAAAACTGATAAAAATCTGTTGTAAAACCTATTTCAATCAATATATTATTTCACCAGCAAATAGATTCATGGGATCAGTAATGCCTACTTGGGTTGTATTAAAGAGGAGGTTGCTTCCAGGGATACAGAACTCTCCAGGGCACGTGGAACCACTGCACTTCCTGAGCTCTGGAAAGTTCAGGCTACACCTGTGTGTCTGACTGCAGGAACTCAGTGCTGGAGAACAGACAGATGCAGAAGGTTGTTTCTGTCCCCAAAGGCAGATTTGCTGCCTAAAAGGTTTCCATTTGTGCTTAGAAGGCAGTTAAATAAATGCTTCAGCTTTCAGTATATTCATGATACGAGAGCTCTCAAGAGAGTGACAGAAGAAAATCCATAAGGCGGTGTGTGCTGCTTTTTTGACCAAAGCTTTAAACGATAAGTGCCGTAAGTGATTGATGAGAAGATAAGAACAAAACTGCAGCTACAGGGAGAACTGGTCTGAAAAGAATGGACAGAGAAGTGCAGGTAGCAGATTGGGGAGCCAGTGGTTAATGAAAGCTGCTGTGTGTCAGACTGGCTACCAGAGCTTTGCACAATATATAAGTATTGTGAGCCCATTTTCTGGTGAGGAAGGTGAAGCTCAAATAAGTGTTTTCCCTTGGTTGAATAGCCAGTCAGTAAAGGGAACAGAATTTGGAGACAACATTGTTCCAAAAATCTCGGCTACCTCCCTGGCAGGATTTTGCATGGGCAGTTTGCACATTGTCATTCAAGCCGCACCAGCCGGGAGCTTCTGGATGAACGTGTGTTCATATTCCAGATGTTGCCAGCTCAAAGTCCCTCTCCCTCACTCGTGGAGAAGTCTAATTTCACCCAGTGAATCAATGTGTCCTGTTTCCCTGTGCCAGGGCCTGCTACCTGGGGAACCACTAACCTGGACTGCTTTGTGTGCCCCTCCACCACTGCAAGTTCTCAATCCTGACAAGTTAGCAGTCCCTTTCACTCTTAGACCACCGCTCCCTGCTTTCTGTGTTACATTCAGTTGGTTGATTGGCAGGGTTGATCAGTCCATTGATACATTGACTACTACATTTGTTTCATTCCGTCAAATATTTATCAAGGGCCCCCTGAGCAGAAGAGGTGAGCCAGACCTATGAACGTGCACTCTGCACAGACACAGCTAATTATTATTTTAGTGAGAGGAGGCAGACAATGAGCATAGTAATTGCTAAATGGGGTAAATGCTGTTAACAAACATAAACAGAATGCTGTGACAGGAGATAGTGACAGGCAGCAGGGGGAGGAGTGGTGAGGATTATTTGCATCTAAAGTATTAGAGCATCTACTAAAATAGCTATTTCTTTTCACAAACGCAGCTTTGTTTGTTTAAGCTCCCCGGAGCAGTCACTCACACCAGGGTGGCTGAGCAGATGTAGAATGGAGCAGTGGCTCCGAGGTCTTCCTGGAAGCTCCACTTCCCAGTAATGCCCAGGTAGAGCTGCAGAACCCACTTCACCTTCCCAGTCTCCCTCCTCCCTCCAGCCCTGTGGTCTTGAGTTATCAGGAGCCCTGGGGATATATTTTATTTTCATTTAGATGCCTGAGTCCTGCTTCTAGATATTAGAGTCAGTTGGTTTTGAGTGGATCTCAGGCACAAAAAGTGCTTGCAGTTCCCAGATGATTCTACTATGTACATGGGGTTGCAAATGACTGCTCTAGAGCAGTGGCTCCAAACTTGAGCAGGCATCAGAGTTATCTAGAAGGATTTACCGTTGATTTGCTGACTGGTTTCTTTTACCCTGCCCTAAGGAAATGCTCTGGTTGCCTCCCTAAGTTCACTCATGGCTCTTGACTTTACTATCTATAATTTCCATCTTTAGAGCAGTGCTTCTCAAATGTTAGTGTTTATAAGAACCACCTGGGGTCTTGTTAAAAATGCAGGTTCTGGGTGGTTTCCTGAGGTTGAAGGGATAGAAAAAAAAAAAAAAACAAGGGTTGTTTAAAAGGTATAGAATTTCAGTTTTGCAAGATGAAAATCATTTTGCAGATCTGTTACACAGCCATGGGAATGCAGTTAATGCTACTGAGTTGTATGTTTTGAAAATAGTTGTGTTGGTAAATTTTGAGTATCTTATTACAATTTTTTAAAATGTAGATTCAGTAGGTCTGGGGGAGGGCGAGATTCTGCACTTCCTTTAAGTGCCCAGGCGATGCTGATGCTGCTGTCTCGGGGACCCCATTTTATGTAGCAAGCATTTGAGGGGTGTCAAGATGACCTGGAGAAGCAGATCTCACGACAGTACTCCACCCCGTGTCAGAGACCCCGATTCAACAGGTTGCAGGTGGGGCTCAGGCACAGGAGCCCTGAATTCTCCACCTTGAGGAGCAGTTCTCCCTGGGCTTGCTTCCACAAGGGAGGTTGAATTTTCCGATGTGCGCTGATTCTGGCATTTTATTTCTTGCCCAAAGTTCAGAGTTGTCTGTGTGTTTTACAGCTCTGCTGAGTGCAGTGTTCCTTTCTGGCTCAGTGCGCTAGGCATGGAAAAGATCCCCACGTAGAGGAGGTAGAGCCCAGAATCTAACCAGTTGGTTCCTGTTTTGGAGCTCCTGAAATACCGTGTCCCCTGGCGGATTAAACCTCAAGGGCCCACAGTGTGCCACATCTGAAGAGGATCTCCCAGGCTCCTGTGTTGTGACCACACTACGCTCCACACCACCTCTGGCCTCATCACCAATCCAAAC